CCCCCACCAAGTTCACATCACATGGGGTAAGGAAAAGGCATGCAAAAAAAAATTTTTTTTTTACCTTTAAAATGCTCACCTGCAAAAGCTGAGATGGGTTCTGAAAAATAAAAAAAGCCAGAAAATGTGAGTTAGATACAGGGAAGAAATAATTGGGTGAACATGACTTCCATTAGGTTTTTTCATAATACTCTATGGAAAGTGCCCCATGTCCTCCACATGTCCTAGGTTGTGTCTAACACATCATCATCACAGGGCTGAGTGGGTGGGGAGTGATTCTCAAAGTTGCTTTGGAACAAAAAGTCCTTCATAGAGTAATGGGTCCCTGAAGCATTGTAATCAGTCACTTACCACTGATTACTTTCTCAGAGCCAGGATTACTTTTAGATGCCCAGGGCCTGAGAGTTGCCTGAAGGGACCAGTGGGGGTGGGGGGTCCCAAGGTGCTTCTGACATCATCAGGCATACACACACCCGGGACTGTGTTCCAAGAGAAGCACTTGGTGAGTTATTACGGCCACTCTGCCAGCTGAAAGCAGGTCCCATTCTTTCTTTGGATTTCCCACTTGCTTTGGGGAATGTCCATGGCTCTGATGGAAGACAGTCAGGGTGCCCTTGGGGTGGACCCTGCTGCAGGGGAGGCCCTGAGTAAAATGTGTGCATCTCAGGTAGGCTGGCTGCAATGTTTAATCCTACAACAACTCTGAGATCTTGGGCACTAGAGGTATTCACTTTAAAGCAAAATCCAAAAAACCTTACTTCATGTGCCATCGTTTGCCCTGCCCTTCATTCATGTAAAAGAACTACTCAAGTAATTGTGTTATCACTCTTATACAACATATGTACTATTTTTGCTCACCAGTGAAGGCTTCCATTAAATCCATCAAACCTTTCCAGCATGTAATTTTGACTGGCAGTTGCTCTCGTCCTCTAGCATTTTCTTTGCTAAAAGCTGGAGTTTGATGATGGGGTCTTGGCACCCTGAATCTCTGTGTACTTAGTGCACGTCTGTTTGATTGGGAACAGGGATATAAGCCTCCACCTCATCTTATACCCTCCCACGCTGAACTCAGCCACAGCCCACCTCCTGCACAGACTGGTGCTGTGCTGCCCACTGGGTAACTCCGGTGTTTGCAAATGATGTGCTGCCTCCTCCTGTACATCCCAGGCCTTGGTACCTTATTTGAAAAAGCCACAAAGAGACACATATTCACGTACCCATGCAGTTCTCCAGTGGGACATCAGTGCTTATCCGAATGTCATCAATGGCAATCTCTCCCGAACGTCCTTTTCCTATCACTCCCTCGAACACAATCTAGAAGCCGGAAGAACAAGAGCCACGGTTAACTGAGCCTGCTGGTCCAAACAGTGCAAAGGTTTCCAGTTTTCTGTTAACTGCTCAGTGTATGTGTGTGTGCATGTGTGTGTGTGTGTATTCGTGTGATGGCACCTGGTACACATCTGTTGACCACATGTCTGCAGTTCTTGCAATCTTAATTTAAAAAGAGTTGGTTCAAATCAAGTGCATATTCCAGGGGATAAGAAAATATAACAAGGTGATGGATATTGTTGTCCAGTAACTAGAATGTATTGATTAAAAGGACCACAATCAGGGCACGTTTAAAGGGGGGTTGAAATTTCCCTCGCTATTTTTGAGGTTCCTTTCTCATAAATCTTTCAAATGCCCAACCCAGGTATTTGAAAACTCAGAGGACATGAGCAGGTGGAGATAATGTGAGAAATACAGCTCACAGATCTGGACTGCCTTGTGGGTAACAGTGCCTGATGGCTTATTATTATATGTCACCTTAGGGTTCCATTATTGCAATGGGGAGGACAATGATTTGTTTTTTCCACCAGTGGTTTACTGAGCACCTACTATGTGCCAGGAACAAGGATAGTAACAAAACCTAATAAAACAAGACCATCTAGTGGGTGAGACAAAAATGTAAACAGGAACTTACAGTACAATGCATTAAGGTTAATAAACGGGAACCCTGGTGGAGGCAGAGAGGGTGTCAGGGCACCTTATGACCTCCAGAGAGAGTGGCTGCAGGCTGCACACAGAAGCACCTCTGCTCCATGGTCTTCAATCATTCCTCATTCTTGCCCTCCCCAGGCTCTCTTTGCAAACTAGCACATGTCCTCTGGCAAGCTGAGCGAGCAGTTGGCTGTCTCACCAGCCATCTGTTGCTGCTCCTCGTCTGGGGAGGAGCAGGTTAATGCTTTGGCTGATTCTCAGTCACCTCTTCCACAGCGTGTCTACTCCTACCCAAGTTGCAAGCTACAGCTGCACATACCCATCTGTGCCTCAGTCTCTTGCTCTGTGGGACAGAGATAACAGCACTCAATTCCTGGAGCTGCTTGTTGAGAGAGAAACCACTCATTTAGGATGCTCTTGGGTCTGCTGGCCATTGAGCACAAGCAGCGTCCGCTCCCTTTCCTGTGCTCACGCTCCCTGGGACAGGCCTGGGAGGCTATTCCCATTTCCTGCCTGGATTCTCAAGGGCTCGACAGGCCTCTTCCCTTGTGTGGGACCGGCAACGGGATCACAACCCTCGGTGCCAGTGAGCGGGAACCGGTCTGTATGTGGGATCCGAACCCTCGGGCGGGAGCGCCGCCGCACTTCCCAAGCGGCGCACTATCCAGTGCGCCACCAGGCCGGCCCCCATGGTCTTCAATCATTCCTCATTCTTGCCCTCCCCAGGCTCTCTTTGCAAACTAGCACATGTCCTCTGGCAAGCTGAGCGAGCAGTTGGCTGTCTCACCAGCCATCTGTTGCTGCTCCTCGTCTGGGGAGGAGCAGGTTAATGCTTTGGCTGATTCTCAGTCACCTCTTCCACAGCGTGTCTACTCCTACCCAAGTTGCAAGCTACAGCTGCACATACCCATCTGTGCCTCAGTCTCTTGCTCTGTGGGACAGAGATAACAGCACTCAATTCCTGGAGCTGCTTGTTGAGAGAGAAACCACTCATTTAGGATGCTCTTGGGTCTGCTGGCCATTGAGCACAAGCAGCGTCCGCTCCCTTTCCTGTGCTCACGCTCCCTGGGACAGGCCTGGGAGGCTATTCCCATTTCCTGCCTGGATTCTCAAGGGCTCGACAGGCCTCTTCCCTTGTGTGTGGAGGGTTTGTTTGTGTTTATTTCCCTGGCATCTGTGTCCCTTTGTCAGCCTACCTGATAGCAATCTAAAATGAAATGGAGAGAAGAAACATTTGTTGGCAAAGATTTCAGCAATATAAAAGGCAATAGGAGGAACAAAGAACCAAGTCTGGGTGCAGAGATAGGCACATTCTGAATAACAAATAAGAGTGTCATTTAGTTGCTATGGCAACGTGAGAAACACAATGAAAACAGCAGCTTAACTATGTCCCCTAATGATGAATGGGCACGGCCCTTTGAAATACTGAAATACTGATCACACCGATTCCCTCGGATCTCGGCACACGACTCCCTTCGCCACCCCACCTGATACTCCATGTCGTAGCTGGGCAAGATGATCCGCCCATGTTTCCACTCGCTGCCCTGGTCCTCACGGATGACCCAGAGGAGCTTGCTCTCCTGGCTGGCTTCCCGCACCACCTGCAGCGCCACCCCGTGGCCGCCTGTGGCTTGGTACTGGAACTCCATGCACACCGGGCTCCGGGGCAGGTGGACAGGTGGGCTGATGAGCCGCGCGTACTGGCCCTCTCTCCGGCCGTCACTCTGCAGCCGCAGGAAATTCTTGTCATCTGGGGGGAACAAACCCAAGCAGAGTTTCTTGGTAAATGCTTGGCAAAGACACCAGTTTGCAGCTGTGGCCCCACAAGGGAAAAGATGGGACTGGAGTTTGGGTGTTGTTTGTTCATTCATGTCCTTGTTCTCCAGGCTCTGTGTCCCTTCCTTAAGGCTCCTTTAGAGCCTTGATTCCAACGCTGTGTCCTCTTGAAGCCCTTTCTTGGGTCTCTAAGCCAAATCAGTCACTCCCACCTATTTCTCTGTGTTGTTCTCTTTGTATTTATTTCATGCACAGCACACGGCGCAGGCGGCCTTAGGTCTTGGCTGGATGAAAATGTGCCTGTCTCCTTTCCCTGGCTCCTGAGAGGCTAGACCCATGTCTTAGTCATCATTGGTTTACCCAAAGGGCCAATGCAGTTTCATGAATAGTTGCCAGGGATGAGGTGGCTGCCGTATTGGAAGGTGACCAGCCAGGTGGCTTATGCTTCGAGCCATTGTCGTCTCAGCTGGGCACTGTCCAAATGGAAGACATTTAAAACCTCTGTCTCCACCAGTGCTACTAATTGATGGCTGGACTCTAGTGACTGTGACTCAGAAACTCAGTGTCAGCTTCAAGCAGAACAGGGGGTGGTGGCTGAGTAGGGTGACTTGGGGCTGACACTCCACTCCCTTCTCTATCCAGCCTAAGGAGGCCTGAACTTGGCCTTTCTCAGACAGCCAGGCACACACAGCTCCAATGGTAAAGGTGCTGTCATTACTATTAACAAAGACTATGTGTTTCGCAGAGAATATACATGTTCTGGGAAATTAAGTGTTCACCAGTCCAAATGTTTGGAGAACAGCCCTTTTGGCTGGTTGGTTTCAAACATATCAGATACTTATGCAGAAGAGCGAGTTCTCGTTACCATTGGCAGACCCCACGCCTTGCAAACACAGGTGTGGGGATCCTGCAATTCCAACTTGTGCTGGAGCATTCTGGCCACTTGTACAGAGAGCAGGGTGGCTTTTGAGGAGAGATCTTATTACCTCTTTTTGGCCCTGACACATGGGAGCATCTTATCCTGAACACTTCTGCAATATGGCAGGGACACTTTTCACTACATACCTAGCATGGAATGTGGGTGCATCAGACGCCTTAGAATCATGTTAATGTGATGCATGTTAATCTGAGACACGTGCACAGAGCTTTCTTACTCAACACCCTAGGTTTGTCAGGGAAGGACAGCCTAAGACTCCAGAGCCCTGACTCATCATGACACTCCTGGGACCACTGGTTAATGCTGTTATTGCTCCCACTGACACCATCTTTCTAGCTGAGAGCTGAGCTTGTGACAGACATCCCACCAGTGGCCCACAAACAGCTCTTTCCTACCCTGGCTGTCTCGCCCACTCCCTGGATCCCCTAATACCCTTGCTTTTGGACTCTTTGGGATTATTGCTTCAGAAGCTATCTTTCCCTGAAATCAAATTATATCAGTTTAGGATGCATATGTGGGATTTCAGTTGGTGCTTCCTTAACCATCCAGAGCCACATCTACAGATCCCACAGCATGTGACCTCTTCAAGGCCAAAGTCAGCACAGATAACTAAAAGGCAGCTGTCTACAGAAGGGAATTTAAATGGTGGTCTGCCGAGGGAGGAGATATGGATGCCACAACCAGGCACTCAAATATCTTCTAAACCTACGCTTCCTCTATCAGATCTCATTACTACTGCGATTAATGATTATAATTATAACTCATATTTGCATAATGCCGAACAGGTTACAAAGCATGTTCGTATGCATTATTTCATTTCATCCTTGCTATACGATTGCTTACTAACCTTACTTCACACGTGATGAAGGAACTGGGGCTCAAAAAGTTTAACGTGACTTGCTCAGGGTAGAGAGGCTAGTAAGACAGTGGAGCCCAGACTTGACTGCAGGTTGTCCTGCCTTCGTGCAGTAAGCTCTTCATTTCAGCTGCACCGCAGGTACCTTGCCCAAGTCCTTGCAATCAATCACACTCTGTTTGAGGCAAACTGGCTTCCCTCCTGGCCCATTCCTGCCTTTCCTCCTCTTACCTATAATTCCTCGCTTCCCCCACCACTCCACCTATCCCATCTCTTTTGCTGGTTCTCCTCCTAACCATGCTGGCACACGCAACATGAATCTCCCTCCTCTCAATCAATCCAGCATTTACTGACTGTACCCCTGATTTTTACTTGTTCTTATAAGGACTTGAGACCATTTTCTGTGGATTTCAGCAGGTAACCACCCCCTGCCTGTCACGATAATTTAACTGTTCTATGTGTGTCTTTCTTATTGCCCCGGTTGGTTTGTAAGGTCCTGGTCTACACATGTAAGGCTTAGTACTGCCTCTTCTCCCTGTCCCTAGATAATGCCATATATATGCCACTACTCAAGAAAATTTTGTTCCCTGAATGAATGAATGAGCAAATGCATGACAAACACATGGGTAAAGAATGATATAAGGTTATACATTGGCCCTCCATATTTGTGGGTTCTGCATCTGCAGATTCAACCAACCAAGGATGAAAAATATTTGAAAAAACCCCAAAACAATAAAAAGTAACAACACAGCAATAAAAAAACCAAATAAAAACCAATACAGTATAACAACTATTTACATGACATTTACATTGCATTAGGTATTATAAGTCATCTAGAAATGATGTAAAGTATATGGGAAGATGTGCACAGGTTATATGCAAATACTATCCTGTTCTATATGAGAGACTTGAGTATCCATGGATTTTGGTATCCACGGGGGGTCTTGGAACCAATCTTCCCCCACCTCACCCCCAATTCTGAGGGATGACTATACATCGGAAATGAGGACAGAGGGAGAATCATCCAGCCTTTGGTAATCCCCCCGATTCATATAATCCCTTCACAATTCTCTCCACCGTCCTGAGCCAACAACAGCCCTTTTCAAAGGTGAGGTGAACTAATAATAACGGGGTGGCCTGTGGAAGCACCCAGTCCGCTGAGACACCAGTGAGAACCCCCCAGTGCTCCCATGCTCCTGGTAATTTCCAAGCCCTTACTGTTTCCACCTCATATATAAAAGAAACCAGATTTCAGAGACTTATTATCCAGCCTTCTTCCTTCACAGTTTCACAAATAAGACCCACTTGCTGCCTGAAAATTGCTTGGCAGAAATTCTGCCACTTGTGTGAATTTACATTCTTAAGCGGCAGGGGAATCATAGCATAAAGGTTAGAATTTGGTAAGTAAAATGTGCGTGGAGGTGTTAAGAGCTGGGCTGACTGGATTTCATCTGGGTCTGTTCGATTTACCCACCCTGTTACTAACACTCCAGACACAACGAGGCCCAAGGTTGCACGGACTGCCTCTTCCAGGGCCTGGGCAGCCCCTTCGGCTCAGCTCCCCTTCCTCCTCCTCTCCCCTCTCGCTCCCACAATAAGATGATAATCACTAGGGATGATTTAAAGGGCCACTGCAAGACCAGGGAGTTAATGCTAGTGGCGTGCTAAGCACGAGCAGCTGAAGGATCATAATTCAGCGCTGACGTCTGAGCTAATCCACTAGTTCGCAGAATCTCCAGACAAGCAGGCCTCTGCATTTCACTTCGTTAAATCATTTGTGCCCCACTTGTCTGTTAAGTGCTATGAGCTCCAGGGAAGAAAGATGATATGTAAATTTAAGGAATTAGCAGTAGACATCAGTCAGAGAGACACTGAGCTGCAAAATGTCCCTGCCTGTCACTGAGAGGCCTGATTAGAACCAGAGACATCATGAAGGAATGACTCAGACCAGGAAAAGCCCCAGGAAGAGCTGAGAAAAGCAGGTGGAAGATAATTAACAAATTGAGCACTTACTAAGTGCCAGACATTGCACTGGAGGCTTTATCCAACTTATCTGATGTAATCTTTCTATTGTTTGAAAATAAAATCAGTATTATTTCTTCCATTTTTACCAAAAAAGAAACCGAGGTTCAGAGAATTGAAGTAGTGTGCCCAAGACCACTGCTAGAGAGTGACAGAAGCAGGACTTGAATCCTGATTGGACTCAGCAAACTTGCCAGAGCATGGCCTCTCATATGGATTGGAATCCTGGCCTGATGTTCACTAACCTTTCAAAGGCTCAGTCTTTCCATCTGTAAAATGGATATAACAAAGTTATGACTGCACAGGGTTGCGGGAGGAGTAAGTGGAATGAGCCTGAGCTTTGCACAGTAGCAGGGACACAGTGAGCACTCAATAACAGTTATTACTACTGCTACTGACACTATACACACTGCCTCCTATGCTTGCCTTTATTTTATTTTGAAAGGAAAGGGTAGAAAGACCACCAGTAACTATGACTGCACAGGGTTGCGGGAGGAGTAAGTGGAATGAGCCTGAGCTTTGCACAGTAGCAGAGACACAGTGAGCACTCAATAACAGCTATTACTACTGCTACTGTCACTATACACACTGCCTCCTATGCCTGCCTTTATTTTATTTTGAAAGAAAAGGGTAGAAAGACCACCAGTAATAAAGGGTAGAAAGACCACCAGTAACCTGGGCAGGCCAATCTAAGACTCAAAAAGAAGTATGGTTTGGCCCAAGGACAGTAAAGATGTTCTCTGGAATAAGACTAGTTCCCCAGATCTGCCCTAACCCCAGAAACCAGCCAGCCCCAAGCTGTCCATCATGCGCTGTTTACCATGTCTTTCGTGTCAATCTATGGTAGATGAAACAAAATATTACATGAGTGGGACATGCGTGGGACCTCAAGAGATCGTTCAGCGCAGGCCAGTCCTGCCTCCCAGAGGAACCATGCTGAAAACATCCCCGAGAACAGCTGTCCAACCTTTGCTTTAAGTTCTCCAGAGAAGGAGTTTCCATAAGCTACATTGGCAATGCATTTTCTAAGTCACAATCCTAACTGTCAGGAACTTCTTTTTTAAAAAATTTTTAATTTATATTTTGAATTGGTTATGAATATTCATGGTGTACAGAGCAAATTGTCACCACTTGTGCCTAAGATGTGATGGTCAAATCC